ATATATATATATATATATATATATATATATATATATATATATATATATTACTATATTATTATACAAACCTTACTATTTCTAAAAATAGATTTAAGACGTCCAAATATTTAAGCTTAAAGTACAACAAATCACTATATAAGTAATATTATAATACAAATTCTACAAACGATAATGCAATAATTACAATTACTTAATGCATACATACCTTATTTGTAGGCTTTTGACCAAGCCTACGTGAACGAGTCTCTATTTCTATATTGAATCCTGATATCTCGGCATATATCTCTGGGTTCTGGCCTTCCTTACTTTATATTTGGGGTCTATATGCTGAACTTCTTTAATATAGTATCTTTCTCACACTCTTTCACCGCCTTCGACCGTTTATGGGGAACTAAACGCCACCTTCAACTACCTGCTTCGCTCTACTCCTTCTTTGTAACCCTAAAGTAAACCTGACTAACTTTAAACACCACTCACCACCGCCAGACTACTAACCAGTAACCACTGCCATCACACCACCGCTATCACCACAATCCACCGCACCAACGCAAATTCACAGCACTGCAGAACTCTCGCAAGATACGAAGGCAAATCCATCGAAGTTGCTTACAGCCGATATTCCTTAGTTATAGTAATGTAAGTGTTTGATTATGTATACTTGAATTGATTTATGCCCTGACACCATCATAGCACCACCACACCGTCGCCGCTCTAATCATCCTAAATATTGTCGCCGCCCCCATATGTGGTTATGTCATCGCTTTTTTAAGGCATATGCATATCAAGGAAATATTTTCTTGATATTTTTTAATATCGAGGGTGAAGTTTAGGACCTTTGGGACAGCTAGACCAATTGGGACAACTAGGGCTTTCTTTCTCTGTATGTCTTGGCGCACACACACTCACAAACCACCACTACTCACAATTTCTTTCTCTGTCTAGGGATGTGAATATCCACATAAATGTTGAACAAGACCACGAATGATTGATTTCATTTTACGATTTTGAATTCCAAGCATCTTTTTATCGGTAATCCCATGTAGCTTCATGGATTTTAATATTTGTTTTTGGTTTTCACTACAGGTTACATGATAATTTTTTACTTTTTGTTAACTGCTTTGGTATGATGTTTGCAGGTATGCCTTACCGGCCCCATATATGTGTATCTAGAGTAAAGCTTTCCTGTTTAAGTGGTACCAAGGGCATTTGTGTCCTTTTGACATTTCTCAACTATCTGTATCGATTCAGGTATATCTTCAAACTGATAACTCCAGTTCATGAAAGAAATATATCATTTTACGTTAGTTACTGAATTCTTATCCATTTAATTATTCACACTGTAATTAAACCCCAATGTTGAAGCCTTCACTAACCATCTTGGGCTTCACCACCATCCAGGTAAATAGTTCTATCAAATTCTCTATTCCATGTTTTTTTTAGTTTTACTTAATTGTCATATATTGATTTTACTCTGTTTTTCATGGATATACCGATTCTTACACTCACCTATGTTGTTTAAGATTATTTGAAGCTATTCATAAATGTCAGATTATTTGATGAGATCAGAACACACTATTTCCAACCAGTTTTAGGGTTAGTTGTTTATTTTATTCACAATTTATGAGTTTCTTTTACATGATTTTTTTGCAGGAGTCTATTGCCTAATACCCAATGTGCAGAATATTGGTTCAAGTTAATTCAATATGTTTCAAAACTTGAATATGATTATTGTGTTTAATACATCTTGGTTTCGTTTTTGGATTGTAAGAATTTTATTATTTTTTTGAGTTGTTTTAATAATTTATCTGATTTATAGGTTTTGGATAATTTTTTCATTTGATGTCCAATCTCT